GTCCCGCGCCGCCCTCCCCTGGTCTCGTCTCTTCTCTGTCGCACCATCCTCGTCGTCGCCGTCGATCTCGCTTGGGTGAAGCTATCGGCCGTTACTCTCTTACTGCAGCGCCTCGTGATCGACCAGTCACCTCGCGAAGGAGCCGGCGTGCAGGAGCAACAGGAGCAACGCGAGCGTCCTCGTGGCCGCACCGCTGTTGCTGGAGTTCCCGTGCTGCATGGCCGCCGGATGCTCCCCTGAAACCCAAGAAAGCCGCATGCACATAAATTATTTTGCAGACGGGGACTAGGCGGTCAGGGATGCGGCGAATGGAAAATTTACATCACCGCCTGCGCTTCTGGTTCTTCCTACCTCCCCCCCTCCCCCTCCCCCTCCTCCCCCGCCCCCATACTCTCTCTGTTCCCTCTCTCGCCCTCTCGAGAAACTTGCGTGCATGAGAAATACGACATTAAGGCAAGATCTCCATTTTCATCATAGACTCTTTGAAATCAATGTCTTTTTAACGACAGATATTGTGACGTCACGTGATAAGAATGCCGGAAAGGTAATCTTTATTGAACAATTAAGCCAATTTAACGGCATCCAGTTACGCTGTATCTATTTATCTATGTATATTTCATTGCCGGAGGCACTACAGTAAAACAAATTCCTGCGTATATATGCGTACAATAATCAAAGCGATACTAACGTTTATTAGAATAATCACGTATAATTAATCACGTTTATGCGCAATTAGGAGGATATTAGATTGTATATTAATTATTGCAAACAATAAATATGTAAATATTTGAGGATGTCGCGGTGAAAAGCAAATATGGAATTTCAGTCGACGTATTAGTTACAAATTACACTACAATTAGCAATAGGGCGAAACAATAACAATATCGTTGATTCATTTAAATATAAAACTTGCAACCGCTATTGTGCCATTTGTCAAAATCGATTTCATCAAATCGATCAGCACACGAGCTCACGAGTTTCGTGAAATAATTCAGGAGGATTCATAATCACATTTTAAGCGGCCGAGTCAAGACAATAAAAAAAGACAGATAAGATAAAGGAAAAGGTGTGGTGACAAAAAGAAAAAAAAACTGACACTCTTATCGAACAATGCTTTAGCGGATCTAAGGACTTCCCCAAAAACGTTCGTTCGCGTACACGGGACGGAGTCAAGTCCTCCGTCTCGCGTATCGATTTCAGATAAATCAAATATTTAAGCGGACATTACGTTAGATATTGCAATAGCGCTACTGTTTGGTCTCCGATCTTGCTTGCGAGATTCCGGAGAAACTGCGATTCCGTCCAAATGTTGACGCCGGCGGCGTTTCCGCGTGGCGTTTCTCAAGAGTTTGCCGCAACTGGTCGCATTGATACGACGATATGCATCCGGTTACATAACGGCGCAAACGCGCAAACGTAAGCCACATACACGAGCCACGAGCCACGTTAGACGTAACTTCCATCTCTCTCGCCAGGATGGTGTAGATACCTGCGGATCCTTGGAGAACCTTAAGCGAGCCACCCCCCAGGTGCCGTATCGGTAATCACTTATTGGTAACTCAAAGTTGCTGTCGAACTACAAGAGTAGAGTTCTTCTCGGTAGTTCTTACGCGGGGACGAACATAAGTGCCTTATTCGAGCACAATACTGAAGTTATTATTAATACAGCGTGTTGCGCGCGTATCGCGAAACCTTCATTATCAAGGTGTTTCAAAGTAAACAGGATACTTAAGTGCATTATTTATACAGTTTCTTGGTAATATTAAATTGCAACCTGATTTTCCACCGTTGCATGCGGGAACGTTCGGTTAGACCGATGCGATGAGTTTTCTCGCTGAGATTTCCAGGCGACGAGGTTAAAGCTTATTTAATAAGAACTATATACTCTCCGTGTCGGTGCTAGAAGGAAAATTAATAACAGAAAATAATATCGGAGTCCATAGAATTAATAGAGATAATTTTCACAACTTTTTCTTGTTTTTAATTTATTATAGATGGATATTCTATACAGGGAAAAATATCCTGCATATTTTTCAATGCACATTTTCACAACCGGACAATAACAACGAAAAAAATAAAAAAAAAAAAAAAAACGT